AAATACTAATGCATGAAAATCCTAACCTCAAAAAAATCACCCGTTATATGTGAATTTAATTATTCTTGAATACTTTCTGAATGATACTAACATTGTAATTTTTTGGATTACCTACTTGAATACTTTTACTTTGCAGCTTCTTTAACAAACATTTAAATATGAACCAAATTTTAAATTTCTTTCTTTATCATATAAATAACATTCTTGTAAATAATTTTAAATGCCTGATGTGCCCTAAGCCGCATGGTTTTATCAGTGGGCAATCGACGGCCTCTAGTCTAAAGCAAAAAAATGCAATTAAGTGAAATTTTGCTATATCTCGAAAACTGTGTTGCTTCCCTATATTTTGACTTCACATTCGAATCCAACGGAAAATTTTACGTATGGAATGATAGTCAAGTGTCACAGGTCGGATTTCTTGTACACTAGTGTAATTTTGTCAATCAGATGAAAAGGTTTCTCCATTCACTCATAATTCACACCGATTTCATCACTTCCAATGCTACTATTTTTTTTTATTAAATACTATATTATTTAATTAAAAAGGGTAAGAGTAAGTCATGGAATAAGCCTAACGGGAAGACCACGTTAGAAATCGCGCCTCACAGGTGTGCATATTTTTGAGAACACTACATATCGCAGAAAAGGCGATTCTTAGGAAGAAAAGTGCCAGGACAATTTTTGTACATAATTGCATGATTTACCCTTTTGTTTCGCCTATTTTCATAATAAAAGTTACTATTTGGCTGAAAAATGTAAATAACCCATATATGTGACTTATGACGGCTAAGAGTTGCCGTTTTGGGCTTTTTCTACCAAAATTGGTAGGTTTTTTTCTGTTGGAATGATGGAAGAACGCTTTAAATTTTGTCAGCACTGTGAGCAGAGAACGAAAACAAACAATAGCAACTGTGTCGGTATCGTTTAGTTTCGCTCATTGAAGGTAACGAAACACAACCGATTCAAATCATTCGGAAACATTTTGCGCAAGGCGAATTTATATATATATAATGTTACTGGCAAATTTAGATTTTCGCCGCGGTACTTCTTAATGTCATAATGATGTGTTTGTTGTAATATGAATTCGCCTTGTTTACAACAACAAAACAACGTTCATGTAAAAATATCAAAAAAAAAAATCGAATTAAGAAGCTGAAAATTGTTATGGAACTTTGTCGAATTTGCTTAACTTTTATACAAAGATTGAAGTTTGGACTTATGGTTTTTGATAGATAACGAGCTATTATTTCATAAAAAAGACAAGTAATTTTTAAACAAAAAACACGGCGACTTTAATTCTCATATAAAAATTGATCGACAATTTCTTCATGATCCAATGACCGTATCTAAACCAAATTAGTATGGAACCACCCTGGAGGTACCACCTTTCCGATAAAAAGGTATTATCGAAATCAGATCAAGTAGTCCAAAGTTATGCGGTAACATACTATATACATTAAAAAAAAATATTCGCACGAATTGATAAACTCCTCCTTTTTTGAAGTCGTTCAAAACTTGCAAAATGTTGCGTCTCTATTTATATTTTCGCCAGTGTATATATATATACATATGTTAACTGTGCTACAAATTTTGTGATGATACGAGGCAATATTCATTTTAAGTTTAAGTTGTTATAAAAGGGACTTTATAACTTGAAATTGGCAATTTTTTCAACCGACATAATAAGGGCTATTTACAGCCGTAAAGACAATATCGAATTTGGTGTTTCTTTTTAGGTATTTTTAAATGAAGATTTTTTGGGATCGAAACGATTTTTACTTAGCTTTAAGATCTTAGTTTGAAGATTTTTTTTAGAAAAAAATAAGATTTTTAAGGGACTTTCTCTGGCAACACTGTGTAAATGAGCAAACGAACAAACGATTCGTTTGGCTTGTGCTCGGCTGCCGTCGAAACGTTCGTGTATTGTTAACGCTCGGGAACATTATAAGAAAAGGAACGCAAACTTTTCGTACTTGTTGTGGCAATTTCGTACTCTGATATAAATCCCGTTAAACTAATCACATGTTTTTTAGCCAGATACCAACAGGGTTGCTTAAGTAGCTAAAAGGAAATTTCACCAGAGTTGAGCGTACTTTTGTCGCTCGCTTATGACAAATAAATGCACCACACCGTAATTGGCCAGCCCACCATTTCCGTTCATAAAATATGTGCACTTCCTTCGTTTAAAGAGCAACACTCTAAACCCGCCTCCTCTGGTGAATAATTCATTGTGGGCTTACATATCCGTTGGCATCGGCGGTATTGCTGTATTGCTCTGGACATCGAGCATATCAAATATACATTAATATGTATACAGACAGATGTCAGAGCTGCACATGAATTTTTCATTAAAAGCTGTATATACACAAAAACATAATTTCATATTGGACCATGCGTTTATAAAGAAGTATTTATGGATAAATGTGTTTATGAATTAATAAATGCGAGTTCTTTATGGACATAGTGAATATAAGTACTTGTATATGTATGTAACTATATGCATATATATATATGTATATGTACATTAATTTATTCGTACTCCTCGTTATAGCCACACTCACACACTCACCTGGTAATTTTATTGGTGTTGGACTTGCCATGTATTCCTTGTGGGCCATTAGTAGCACAATGGCAACAATAATTAAATTCATATTTTCGAATTATGTTTGCAAATTTCTGTTTCCAATACTTCACCGTCTTCTTCACATTCGCATACAGTTCAATAGCCCTCACTACTGGCCGCCGTCGCCAACGGTCTATTATGTCTATATGTAAATGTAAGTGGCGGAAGTGTAACGACAACGGCAACGTTATTGTTGGCTTTATTCGATTCGTAAGAGTTCTACAAAATTGTTGTTGTTGTTGTTTTATATGTTTTTGTTGTTCAATTTGTTGCGATAGCTGTTCTGTGGTGACGCTATCGGGATGCGTGGACAATGCCTGCTGCAGTCTTGGTAATGACGTTAACACACTCAAAATCCAACCACAAACAAGACACGCTCGACCAGCACAATTTTCATACTTGATTGAGGCGTGGCCGTCGCTGACGTTGTTCACGTTGTGGTGCTGGCAATGGCCAATATCGTTACTACAGCTGCTGCTGCTATTACTGTTGCTGTACCGGTTGCTAATATTGCTAAAGTAGATGTTGGTGTTGTTCGTGCTTTTGTTGATGACACTGTTATCGACTGGACGTTGTTCTTGTGTCGTTTGTTGGCAGTAGATTACAACTAGTATATTTGGTAACATCACCGCTTCGAACACGCCAAACACATGTCAAAATTAAAAACAAATTAAATAACACCCTTTCTTGCTATGTATGAGTTGGTGTAGGTACGAGTACTATTTAAAAAATGTTGAATATTTACGCTTTTCAATTCTTTTAGGAAACAGAACTTTTGATTAAATATCACAGAGAAAATATCATAGAATTTGCATACAAAAGGTATGTATGTATGTATGTACAAACATTTACAGTTACGCGAATCTGAAATGAAAGATTAGAGAAATTAATTATAAAATGGTAATTAAAGAAAGATTAGTATATATTTCAAGTAATTTTAAAAATTTTAAAATTGAAAAACAAACCGGTTCATAAAATTTAAATGCAGAAAAATCGGATAATGCTTACTGTTAGTCAGAAATGAAAAATAATAAAGTAGCAAAATTGGGTATGGTTTTCATTTAAAAGACAATTAAATGAATTAAGTTCAAAATCGATTGGTTTAATAGTAAAGCATAAATTAGAGCTAATGCATAAATATTTAAAAGTTTTGGGATCAACTAATTTATTCCTTAGTTGTTAAACACCTTAACCTGGCTTTTTTTTATACGTATTTTCTACAACAATTAAGCGAAAAACAAAACCGACTTCAAATCTCATAGAAAAATTTAAGAGTACCGTTAATTTCTTCATGATCCAATGATCGGATCGGCTCGATAAATATCGATAACAAAATCGGTTAATATCGATAAATATCGATAACAAAATCGATAAATATCGGTAACAAAATCGATAAAAAATATCGACAACAAAATCGATAAAAAATATCGGTAACAAAATAGTTAAAAATATCGATTACAAAGTCGATAAACATATCGATTATTATGTATTTATTTACACTATCGATAAAAATATTGTTACTATTTAGGTAAAAATTTTTTATAACAATTCAGATTATTTTTTTTTTATTTTGGGAGAACCGTAAAATTGCTTTCAACTGGTTTCTATTATGTAACATTTATTAACTGGAATAGGGAATCGAGTAGCTTTAAAATTGCTACTTTTACTGCACTTTGCATTAAAAAAATTAGCACAAACATATAAAAACTCAACAATCGGGGAATAACTGGTCTCTTGCAAATTCGATTAGCTTTCATTCAAAAAAAGGAATCAAATTGATGAAATTGACAATAGGCCAATTTTGAACCACTGCGGATTGGTAGGTAAAAACAAACCAACATTTTTATTCTTTACTACCAAAACCAGATGCATTTTCGTGGACCCCACTTACAACTCGTGAACCCCCATATATTTTTCACGCCAGCGTAGACCCCCGTAGAAGAATTCGATATTTATTAAAAAATATTCGTATTATTTTGGCCTTATCGGAATTTTGATGCCTCTTTTGGACTTATCAGTTTTGCCGTTTTATTGAATATGCACGAGACAAATTTTCATAAAACGAGCGCATACCTTAAAACCTTTTTAATATATTTATGCGTTTTCATAAAAAGTGGACTTGGCAACTTTTCACCCTAAGCTAGCGAAATTCGAATGCCAGTGAGCAGACAATAAAAATAGACATAATATCTTTCATAAATAACCCTAATTGGTTAGCAGTCGAGTTAGCCAACAAGCAAATAAAACTTTCGAAAACTATTTCTATTAGTTGCTTAGTAGCCGTAATTAACTTTCTAACTACGAAGTGCCGGCACTCATCACCAGAACGGCTGAAAGTAAAGATA